AAGCTAATATCTCCATAACTACTGAAGGAATGGGATTGAAACTTCACACACTTGTTCTCTATGATTATCAACATGATTGGCACAAGTCCCATAACTCTGATTTGCTTTTTTGTATAATTATGCTGCTTTTTTGACTTACAAATTCTTGGTTAAGTTTTTGCATGTAATCTCCATAACTACTGAAGGGAATGGATTGAAACTTGACATACTTGTTCTCTGTGATTATCTAACATGATTGGCACAAGTCCCATAACTCTGATTTACTTTTTGCATAATAATTATTATTTTTAGACTAAGAAATTATTGGAAAAAATTTTTGCTTGTAAGCTGGTATCTCCATAACTACTGAGGGGTTTGTGCCTTTTTGGGGACAATTTTATGCATTCATAATAATAAAGCAGTGATTTACTCGATAAATCATCTTAATAACAAGCCTTTGTACCTTTTCGGAAATTTTTATGTTTTCATATAGGTAAGCATTATTCTACACAACGAAACACCCTTGTGACAACTTTTTCGAATAGTCGAGCGTCGCTGTCCTCCGACAGTTCTTGTTAATTACTATATACATATAAGGAAAATCAATGACCCCAGGAGAGGAGCCAATTTTGACTCCAGGACTATTATTTGAACAAACTTGGTTGACACCCACTAGAAGATGTTTAATACTAAATATCTGAGCTCTAGCTCTTTGGTGTTTTTAAAGGAAGTTTTTCTTTCGGTTGCATGGCAGAGTTCTGCATGGATTTCAATTTTTTGAATAATTTTCAAAGTCGATATTTGAAGGAACATTCCTCTGAAGTGTGGATGAAATTGGCATAGTTATTTATGAGGAGATACGTTCAAAGTAAAAAATTACGGCCGACCGGAAGGACGCCAGACGAATTGCGACCACAAAAGCTCACCTTGTCATTTTGTGACAAGTGAGATTAAAAGGAAAGCAGGCATTGTCTTGAAAATTTATAGATTAAAAGATCACATTTAGGAAGAGGATAGTGTATTAAAATCATAACTTGTTTGCATTATTTTGGAGTTATTTTGCTGTTTCTATTTTTTTATGCCCCGGGCATATAGTAATTGAACTGTCTGACAGTCTGTCCGTACGATGTTAACCTAAACGGCCAGCTGGATTCTTAATTTCTACCCATAATGTACAGACTTAGTAATGAATACAAAGTACATGATCTGGGCAGGTTGCATAGCTATGGCTTTCATTTTTACAAAGTTATTGCCCTTTGAATCACTTTGAAAATGAATATGAACCTAAACCGTCAAGTTGGATATATCTTCAGTTCTGTGATACTTCTATCTGTACGGATTCATGATTTTCACACTTATCAGTCAGAGTACATGATATTACCAGTAATATAATTGTGCCATCCATTTTTCCAATTAATTTCCCTTTTTTTCAGTTTGAAAATAGGGTCTTGTATAGGTGTGGTTAACCTTTTCCGGCAAGTTGTATTGATCTTAAATTTCTCCTAATTAATTGATTTATTAGTCCCCTACCGGTTTACCGGAGGGGACTTTAGGTTTACCCTCCGTCCGTCTGTCCGTCAGTCCGTCCGTCTGTCCGTCCGTCAGTCCGTCCGTCCACAAAACTGGATCCCGCGATAACGCAAAAAGTACTGAAAATATTTTAATGAAACTTGATATATGGATAGCTGGCAGTATGGAGATTATGCACGTCTTTTTCTTTTCTTCCTATGTTGAAAATTCTGGTTGCTATGGCAACAAATAGACTGAAAATATGGCAAATTTTACACATAACCTGGATCCCGCGATAACGCAAAAAGTACTGAAAATATTTTTATGAAACTTGATATATGGATAGATGGCAGTATGGAGATTATGAACGTCTTTTTCTTTTCTTCCTATGTTGAAAATTCTGGTTGCTATGGCAACAAATAGACTGAAAATATGGCAAATTTTACACATAACCTGGATCCAGTGATAACACAAAAAGTACTGAAAATATGTTTATGAAACTTGACATATGGGTAGATGGCAGTATGGAAATTATGCACATCCTTTTTTATCTTATGTTGAAAATTCTGGTTGCTATGGCAACAAATAGACTGAATTTCAAGATTTCTGATTCTAGTTTTTAAGTTTTTTCACTATAAGTTCTTTATTTCTTAAGGTATTTTCTTCAAACTTTAAATATAAGTTGCTTGTCATCAACCACATCATATGTGACAAGGTTTACAACTCTAGCACAAAATTTATCAGAATTACCTCCCTTGAACTTAAAATTTTCATGAAAAAAAAACATTTTTTTTTTAATAACTTCTTTTTCTGAATGTATCTACTTCAAACTTCATATAAATGTTTCTTATTGTCACTCAACATTTGTGAATGTTCAATACTCTAGCAAGACTATTTCCAGAATTATGCCCCTTTTGAACTTTGACTTTTTTTTGAGAAATTGGTAATTTTTACTCCAACTTCTTCAATCATGATAGGATTTTAAAAATGTTATATTTTGATAACAGGGATGTTTAAAAAATAACTTTAGAGTGTCCTTCAGTCCATCTGTCTGTACATAAAAACTGTTTCCTGTGATCACTTTTAAAGAACTTTTTCAACAAATTTACTTAAAATAGGAACCTAAGTGAATGGCCAATGGCCCTTCAGAATGTTGCTTGGGCTCTTACCGGTAGGGGACTTATGGATTGCTTGCAATACTATGATAATTGCTTGTTTAGTGATATCTTTCATATTTAGTACGTTGATACCTTTATCTTTTGTGGAGCAAGTGGTCTCTAGCGTTAATGTCAAGCTCACTGGTTTAAAAAATAAATGTAAACAGTTTTGCTCGTATTACCTTTATTTTTAAGTTAATGTATTTTATGTTTAATACAAAAATATGCCAAGGCGGGTCCTCTTCCTTTTGGTTTAGTTAGGGGTTATTTAGGTCAAGGTCGCCAATGTGAAAATAGATTTTTACACTTTTAAATTATTTTATTAACATATGTCTTTTGTATTTTGGTAGAAACATAAAATTGAGGCCTTCTCCTTTGGATGGAGTAAAAGGGTCAGTTGAGTCAAAGTCACCAGTGCTAAAAATATGTTTACACTTTTGCTCATACAGCTTTTATTCATAATATCTTTTTTATGCTCCCCGAAAAATTTCAGGAAAGCATATAGTCGGCGCCTTGTCCGTCTGTCCATCTGTCCGTCCTTCTGTCTGTCCGTCCGTTGTCTTGTCCGGAGCATAACTTGAAAACCCTTGGAGATAATTTGTTTAAACTTCATACAGTGGTAGAGGGCATTGAGGGGGAGTGCAGTGTCAAAGAACCATAACTCTATTTTGCCCGGATTTTGAATTATCTCCCCTTAAAGAAAAATCTTGTCCGGGGCATAACTCTAAAACTATAAGAGATATCAACATGGAACTTTGTAAGTAAATACATCTCAATGGGTAGATGTGCAGTGCATAAGAACAATAACTCTTTTTGCCCTAATTTTGGAGTTATTGCCCTTTGTTAATTTCAACACTTTGTAACTTTGTCCGGAACATAACTCTAAAACTACAAGAGATATCAAGATGAAACATTGTAGGTAGATAGATCTCATTGTGTAAAAGTGCAGTGCAAAAGAACCATAACTCTGTTAAGCCTCGTATTTGAATAATCTCCCCTTTTAGAAAAATCTTGTACTGGACATAGCTGTAAAACTATAAGAGATATCAACATGAAACTTTGTAGGTAGATATATCTCAATGGGTAGATGTGCAGTGCTTAAGAATCATAACTCTACCTTGCCTAATTCTGGAGTTATTGCCCTTTGTTTAGTTTTACTTTTTGAAGTTGTCCGGAACATAACTCGGAAACCATGAGAGATATCAACAAGAAACATTGTAGGTTGATAGATCACAGTGATTAGAAGTGCAGTGCAAATAACAGTAACTCTGCCTTGCCTAATTTTGGAATTATTGCACTTTCCACGGACATAACTCTGAAACTACAAGAGGTGTACTTTCCTGTGTCCAAAACCTATTCGGGGAGCATCACCCGGCTCAAACCGGGCTCTTGTCATTTTAGATAGGAATATAACATGATATTCTTCCTTTAGATTGAGGTAGGGATCAATGTTTCAATGTCACCAGTGCTAAAATAGATAAAGTTTTACACTTATGCCCATATAGCCTTTATATTTTGAAAGATATATTTCATGTTTGGGAGGAAGATAACTTGTATAGTCTTCTTCCTTTTGATGGATTTATGGGTCGGTTTGTTTAAGGTCACCATTGCTAAAAATAGATTTTTATTATTTTGCCCATACATCCTTTATATATTAACAGATGTATTTCATATTTGGAACCACGATAACTGACATGATATTCATCCTTCTGATTGAGTTAGGGGTCAGTGGATCAAGGTCAAGGCTGCCAATAATATAGTTCTACACACTTTCTTATACAACCTAAATGAAGATTATGCATGTCATTTAATGTTTTTATTGCGGTTGCTATGTTTACGGAAAGGATGAAAACTGAATAAAATTGTATTGTTTGTCTGTGTGTCCATCCAAGGAAATCTGGATTCTGATATAACTCATGAAATACAAATTCGAGATCGATGATAATTAGTTTGTGGATAGAGAACATATGAAGTGTATTCACATTATTTTATTTTTTTCATCCGTCCGATATCCTTTGACCTCAGGAAATAAAATATAAAATTTAAGTCAGTCTGAATATTTATATGGGTTGAGGAAGGAAACTAAGGTACCTCTTGTCTTGTCGTTCTGTAGAAGAATCGAAGGTCAATAGTAATAAGGAATGTTGCGTGATTCTCTGATAATTAAGAATTACATATCAAATATATATAGACAATGCTTAACTTCCATATTTTTTCTAGAAATAGGTCAGGTTTAAACATGACTGTAATCTTTACTTTACTCTGGGACCTAAAATATTGGTCCAAGCTTTACTGAAAAAAATCGATGGCAGAGTTTAAAACCAATGTACTTTTATGTATTTTCAATAGGACGAGGAAATTATTATCACTTACGGACCATACAGTGGACTAGCTACATACAAAGTACATAGTGGAAAAAGTGTGGTAGTAAAGTTTGTATGTCTAGAGATTGACCAGGAAGGAGTTATTAAACAAATCAACAGTTCTTATTCCGCACAGTAAGAATTCAATTTTGAATATGGATCTTACATAAGTTACCTATTGCTACAAGGTTTTTTATACCCTCGGGCATATGGTGATTGAACCGTCCTTCCGTTTGTCAGGCTGTCAATCAGTCCGTACAAGGTTAACATAGGAGGACAAGTTGGCTTTTTCTTAAATTCCACCTGTACCAATGGCTATGTGATTTACACACTTACTAATAAATAAAAAGCACATGATCCAGGCAAGTTACATAACTATTGCTACAAAAAAATCAAGGTACTGCCCTTTTCAGCACTAAGAATCTGGATATGGTTAACATAAAACGGCAAGTTGGATATATTTTGAGTTCTATCTATATTGATTTCTTTATAACCAAGACAAAGACACGTTGTTGCCAAGTTACATAACTGTGCCATCCATATTTCCATTTTTATCACTTTGAAAATGATGGGCCTTGTTTGATTTACCTATTCCGACAAGTTAGATTTATGTTAAATTTCACTTAATTACTTCATTTATTTTAAGATTTCTTCCATATTTAGTAGGTAAATACCTTCATGGTCTTATAACTTTTGTGAAGTAAGGGGTCACCTGGGTCAAGGTCAAGGTCACTGGTGTAAAAAAATAATTTAAACATTTTTTGTTCATGCAGCCTTTAACTTTAATTTGATGTATTTCATGTCAAATGCTGACATGACTGAAATAAACACAACACTTCTATTTACATCTAGAAGAAATAAAACATTATTGAAAATCTGACATTTAAGTAAATGGACTGATTTGAAGTTATAATGTTCAGATAAGACTGCATTTAAAATCAAAAATGATAAATAGTAGATCTGAAAATAATTCGAAAAAAATGGATAACAAACACTTCGCTTACCTAACATTATTACGTCACGAGATCCAGAAGAAATATATGATGGCTGATTTGGTACATTGTGCATTGCGATGTCGATAGCGCAACCTTTATTGTTATTGCCTTTCGTCTTGTCGCTAGCGACAACATGACAAAGCGCCAAACGGTGCGTTGTCGCCTTGTCGTCCTGTCTCTAGCGAAGCACGCCAAACGGCGCGTAGTCGATAAGTAGTTATAAGCCAATCCTTTGATTTGAACCGAGCGATGCCATTTGGCGCATTGTCCTGTTGTTGCTAGCGCCATCACGACACATACAAGCGTTCCAAAGCAGCCACCATAGAAAAAGGTGCATTAACGCTCTAGTCTTGTTCTATCAATTTTTAAACCAGGCTTACTGTAGACGAGCAGATCAATGTTGATCCTTTATACAGCTTGACTTCATTACTCAGTTCGACTTCAACCACTGTGGGTCATGAAATAGTTTGGACAATATTCTTTCCAGGTAACATTTACATATATATATTATAATACTCAACTTTTGCTAAGCACTATATGTTTTAGTGGGAATATTTTTTTTGGGATAATTTTATAAACGTCGTGTTGATTAACTGTTTTAGCAATTCAGATGAACGACGCATTCAACCCTGTAAATGAGTCCTACACTGATTTCGTGCTAGAGATGAGTGAGACCCCCTCTTTGAAGAATTCATAACATGCAGCGTGTTTTCCAATTTTGTAAAATTGTTTTTATGCCCCCGCCATGTAATGGCCGGGGCATATAGTGTTACCCTGTTCCGTCCTTCCGTCCTTCCGTCATTCCGTCCTTCCGTCCTTCCGTCATTCCGTCATTCTGTCATTCCGTCATCATCAGTTTCCGTTCATTATCTCCCCAACGGTACAACACATTCAACTTAAATTTGACATATGGATATGTCATGAGTAAATACAGGTCAAGTTCGAATTTGGTCATGGTTCGATGATTTTTTGGCAGAGTAATGCCCCTTTTACTTTGAAAATAATATGAAATTTTCAGTTTCCGTTCATTATCTCCCCAACGGTACAACACATTCAACTCGAATTTGACATATGGATATGTCATGAGTAAATACAGGTCAAGTTCGAATTTGGTCATGGTTCGATGATTTTTGGCAGAGTTATGTACCTTTTACTTTGAAAATAATATGAAATTTTCAGTTTCCGTTCATTATCTCCCCAACGGTACAACACATTCAACTCAAATTTGACATATGGATATGTCATGAGAAAATACAGGTCAAGTTCGAATTTGGTCATGGTTTGATGATTTTTGGCAGAGTTATGCCCCTTTTACTTTGAAAATAATATGAAATTTTCAGTTTCCGTTCATTATCTCCCCAACGGTACAACACATTCAACTCAAATTTGACATATGGATATGTCATGAGAAAATACAGGTCAAGTTCGAATTTGGTCATGGTTTGATGATTTTTGGCAGAGTTATGCCCCTTTTACTTTGAAAATAATATGAAATTTTCAGTTTCCGTTCATTATCTCCCCAACGGTACAACACATTCAACTCAAATTTGACATATGGATATGTCATGAGAAAATACAGGTCAAGTTCGAATTTGGTCATGGTTCGATGATTTTTGGCAGAGTTATGCCCCTTTTTCTTTGTTAATAATATGAAATTTTCAGTTTCCGTTCATTATCTCCCCAACAGTACAACACATTCAACTCAAATTTGACATATGGATATGTTTCTGGAATGCCCAGGCCAATTTCGAATTTGGTCATGGTTCAATGATTTTTGGCAGAGTAATGCCCCTTTCACTTTGAAAATAATATGAAATTTACAGTTTCTGTTCATTATCTACCCAACAGTGTTGCATATTCAACTCAAATTTGACATGTGGATATGTCAAAGGAATGGGCAGGTCAAGTTGGAATTTGGTCATGGTTCGATGATTTTTTGGCAGAGTTATGTCCCTTTCACTTTGAAAATAATATAGATACGTCTTAGGAATAAGCAGTTTAAGTTTGAATTTGGTCATGGTTTAATGATTTTAGACAACCTTATCTTTCTTGAATATTGGAAAATTTTTGAACTTTTTGTTTCAGCACTCATACTTTTGTGGAAATGTATGTATAGCCATTATTTTGGCTACAAATATGAAATATGCTATTTTCAAAAGGTTAAGACTGAATAATTTCAGTGCCTTGAATATTGTATGAAAATGGTTTGTGTTAACACTGAAAAGTTTAAAGGGCTTTGAACTTAAAATGAAAACAATAATTTGTGCAAACAAATTTGGAACTAAATATTATAACATCTGAAATTTTGGCTGCATGCGGGGGCATCCGTGGCATGATGACACATTTCTAGTTTTTTGTTATTTTTGTTGTTTTTGTTTTGTTTTGTTTGCAGTTTATACCGTTTAAATGACCCGCGGCTATCAATGACAGCTTGGCAACGCCTTCTCATACTCCCTATTAGGTTTTTGATCGTTCTATCGGGTATGGCTGCCCATTCTTGGGCCTACATGGCTCCAAGCTCCTGGATGGTTCTGGTTAGCAGTTGACAAGCTCAAATTCTAGCCTGCAGCTCATTCCACATGTGTTCTATTGGATTTAAGTCAGGTGAGCAAGCTGGCCAGTCCATGCGCTCAACAGACACCCTCTCTATGTAGTCCTGGACCACCCTTGCCATATATGGGCGAGCATTATCCTGCATTAGAATGTACTTACCGCCGACTGCTCCAGCATACAACCTAACCTGGTTGTCTAAGATGTCGTCTATGAATCGCTGAACTGTCAATGTACCTCTATTTAGCACTACCAGGTCGATTCGTCCATCCAAGCACACCATAACTGACACACCTCCGTAGCGGTCATGCTCAGCAATATTTGTAGCTTGAAACCATTTACCTCGACTTCTCCAGACTCTAGCACGCATATCTGTGAAGTCTAGGCAGAACTTGGACTCTTCAGTGAACAGAACCTGCCTCCAGTGTTGCATAGTCCACTGTGTATGTTCCATGGTCCATTCCAAACGAGCCTGGCGATGTCGACGTGTCAAGGGGATACATGTACGTATGCACGGTCTTCTCGACCGCAAATTACCTTCATGCAGCCTTCTACATACCGTCTGCTTGGAAACACAGACCCCCGCAGAATTAGCAATGTCATTTCGAACAAAGGTTGCTGTCGAAAACCTTGCACGTCGTGCCGGAACGATCAAACCCCGATCTTGAGCTGGTGTTGTGATCCTGGCGGATTAACCATGTAGCCGGTATCTCTTCCAGGCTCTGGCGATGACAGTCTGGTGTTCACCAAGCGCCGTATCATCCTGGCGGAAGGTGCCCCGCCCCTGCTGCACCATCCCTTCAGTGCTATATAACTCTGCTTCTCTCAAATACGGCCTAATTTGCCACATTGAAGCGAAAGATGTATTAAATGTAAGGAATACACTGTATGACAATAATCCGGTAATGTCGACATTTAGTAAAGACATGTGATTGTACACACCATCAAAAGGGTGAAAATGTATGGGTGCATGCTTTCCATGCTACCTAGACGAGTTGTAACGGATAATTCAACACGATTCATGTCGGGGGACTATCTCAAAACATTGCTAAATAGAAAAAGTTATGCTTAGCAAAAGTTAAGAAGGATAGTTGTTTGTATTTTAGTTTTTATTTTGATAATAACATATTTTTATAAATGATTGAGCATGACATGGATAGAAAGTTTGACAAAATTTTGATTAACGCAAAGCAATAGATGTTTTAATTGTCCCTCGCATTTTCGAAGAAAAAAGGGGTATAAAAATTGGTACAAAAGTTATAATAAGATGATGCGTCATGTGCAACACCAGGACCCCTACCTCCAATGTCAAGGTCACACAATTTTTTCACAGAGGAAGGGATTTTGATTTTTTTTCACAAATGTTCACAATCATAAGACGATGTGTCATGCGCAACACCCTGACCTCTACCTCCAAGTTCAAGGTCACATTTGGAGGACAAAGCTTAAATGGTCTGTTAAAGGGTAACTTTCTCATCAATCCAGGGTTTTTGTTAATAGTTGGCTCGAATGTTCACAATAACAAGACGACGTGTCATGCGCAACAGCCAGTCAGCCTTCATTCAATGTAAAAAGGTCACACTTGTTAAAAATATTAACTTTGTTTGTTTAGAGTATTTGTGGTGTTCCGTCCATAACTTTCTTATCTATCAAGGGATTTTGAAAATATTTGGCACAAATGTTCACAATAATGAGACGTTGGTCACAGATCGAGGTCACACGTTAAGGTCAAAGCTGAACATGGTCTGTTATATGATATATTTTATGTCCAGTCCATAGTTTTTTCATAGATCAAGGTATTTTGAAATTACTTTGCACAAATGTTGACACTAACAAGACAATGTGTCATGCGCAGTCAGACCCCTATCTCCAAAGTCCAGGTTACACTTAGAGGTCAAAGCTTAACATGTTCTTTTATAAAGTATATTTTGTGTCTAGTCCATCGTTTAAAGAAATTTGATAATACTTGGCAGAAATGTTCACAATAATGGGACGATGTGTCATGCGCAACACCATATGTCATTGGTGAATCGTCAACATACCTTGATTGTTTAAAAAGTTACGGCCTGACAGGCCATACTCTTTATTGATTTTGTATTTGTCACATTTTGTGGCTTGAAATATAGATATCAACTATATAAATGTATATCTGTTCACACATACACTGGAGTTATCTCATTATATTTTTTTTATAAAGTTATTTTTACTTGCATGTGCAGATCTAGCGTTGATCAAAAGTTTGCACTGGAAGTCCAGATCCATGCCATCTTTTGAAATAGCACAATTTTGTGCTTCATGTAAAACTTCCCTTTGTTGGTGACTCTGTTACAATTTTTTGTGTTTTTGTGGCTATGCGTTTATAAGCAATATCTGTTAGACGTTGGGATTGACAATCATAATATATATCAAACCCGTAACGTCTATTATATTGGACTATATAGTCAGTCGTTCCAATACAACTTATACTATGTGCTACACGGTTTAATTATTCCTTATTTCAGGCGTATTCTACTATATATAGGTACATGTATATTTAATTCGATAGTTTGACAATACATAAATAACAAACGTACTTAGGTATGACTTATTATTTTCATCTGATGTATAATTAAAAAAGAAGACAATTTGTCAAACTTGAACTCGTCACAAAAAGTTTATTAGCCTACAATCCCGACGAGTTTACCAAGTTTATATGTAGCACCCAGACATTTACCGTTCATATGCAAAATTAGCAAAATTTTTAATGTACTGTTATTTTCGGTTCTTATTGACTTAATTTGCCTTTTCACGCTGCCATGCAGTCAAGCTCTCCGTTCAAAGCATAAGGTGGGGTATTCCGTATCCTGTAGACACATTTATAGATAATACTAAAGATACTATTCATTTGTAGAACACTACAGTTTGGAAGTTACCAGCTGCACAGCGTATCCGGGAATAGATGATTCATCAAATGATTCTGTTGCTTTGATCTCAAATGGCGGGTAGGCCTTATATTATATCTACATTTAAGTATTACATGTACGAAATTCGCGTAATTGTATTAATTCTTAAACATTAAAAGAAAAATTAACAAATAAATTACACCACGAGATACCTTTACTATCGACCGACAAAAAGCCAAATAAATCATTGAGAAATATCAAAATGTCGTGACTGTTAAGTTATATAAGTTTGTTGACATATTTTGAGCAACCTTTCTTTCCTCCTAAAAGTGAGTGAAAGGGTTAGCCTTTTTGAAAAATTTGTAACCAATAAGAATTTGGGCCGGAGGCATTCGTGCTTCAGCTTGCCAAACAAGGTCTTGTTTTCGTTTGTCCGCTAGTTATACCCCCAAAAACGAAGTTTGGGGGGGGGGTATATAGGAGTCACCCGGTGGTCGGTCGGTCGGTTGGTCGGGCGGTCGGTCGGTCCGCCCAGACGTCTGTTGCATTTTCCTTGTCCGGAGCATAACTTGAAAACTAATGGTTGGAATTCAATATAACTACATACAATGGTCAAGCACATTGAGAGGAAGTGCAGTGCACAAGAACCATAACTATATCTTGACTAATTACAGAGTTATTGCCCTTTGTTACTTTTCCTTGTCCGGGGCATAACTTGAAAACTACTGGTTGGAATTCAAAACAACTGCATACAATTGTCAAACATAATAAGGGGAAGTGCAGTGCACAAGAACCATAACTCCATCTTGACTAATTACAGAGTTATTGGCCTTTGTTTCTTTTCCTTGTCCAGAGCATAACTTGAAAACTACTGTTTGGAATTCAATACAACTTCATACAGTTGTCAAGAACATTAAAAGGAAGTGCAGTCACAAGAGCCATAACTCCATTTTGACAAAATACAGAGTAACTGCCCTTTGATACTTTTCCTTGTCAGGAGCATAACTTAAAACGTACTGGTTGGAATTCAAAACAACTTCATACAATTGTCAAACACAATAAGGGGAAGTGCAGTGCACAAGAACCATAACTCTGTCTAAAGTAATTACAGAGTTATTGCCCTTTAATGCTTTTCCATTGCTTTTTTTGTCCGGACCATAACTTGAAGACTAATGGTTGGAATTCAATATAACTTCATACAATGGTCAAGCACATTGAGAGGAAGTGCAGTGCATAAGAACCATAACTTTATCTTGACTAATTACAGAGTTATTGCCCTTTGTTACTTTTCCTTGTCCGGGGCATAATTTGAAAACAACTGGTTGGAATTCAAAACAACTTCATAAAATTGTCAAACACAATAAAGGGAAGTGCAGTGCACCAGAACCATAACTCTATCTAAAGTAATTACAGAGTTATTGCCCTTTGTTACTTTTCCATTGATTTTTTGTCCGGACCATAACTTCAAGACTAATGGTTGGAATTCAATATAACTACATACAATGGTCAAGCACATTGAGAGGAAGTGCAGTGCATAAGAACCATAACTCTATCTTGACTAATTACAGAGTTATTGCCCTTTGATACTTTTCCTTGTCCGGGGCATAACTTGAAAACTACTTGTTGGAATTCAAAACAACTTAATACAATTGTCAAACACAATAAGGGGAAGTGCAGTGCACAAGAACTATAACTCTATCTAAAGTAATTACAGAGTTATTGCCCTTTGTTACTTTTCCATTGCCTTTTTTGTCTGGACCATAACTTGAAGACTAATGGTCGGAATTCAATATAACTTCATACAATGGTCAAGCACATTGAGAGAAAGTGCAGTGCACAAGAACCATAACTCCATCTTGACTAATTACAGAGTTATTGCCCTTTGTTTCTTTTCCTTGTCCAGAGCATAACTTGAAAACTACTGTTTGGAATTCAATACAACTTCATACAGTTGTCAAGAACATTAAAAGGAAGTGCAGTGCACAAGAGCCATAACTGCATTTTGACAAAATACAGAGTTACTGCCCTTTGATACTTTTCCTTGTCAGGAGCATAACTTAAAACGTACTGGTTGGAATTCAAAACAACTTCATACAATGGTCAAGCACACAAAGAGGAAGTGCAGTGCACAAGAACTATAACTCTATCTTCAGTATTTATAGAGTCATTGCCCTTTGTTCCTTTTCTTTGTCTTTCTGGACTTATTACAGAGTAATTCAATTAAACTTCATCAATGGCCAACCACATTTAAAGGAACTGCGACATATAAGAACCACAACTATCTTTAATTGCCCACAACCATAACTCTATATTTCAATTCTTTTACAAGGTATTCTGTTACAAGTAACATCCTCATTTCCCAAGCAGTCTTGTGGGGGTATTAATCACATTTAGTGATAGTTCTAGTTTAAAGTCTAGAGTTTTCATTCTCAATAAGCAAAATCTATACGGAATTTATGCTTGCTTGAAATGAAATACAACTGGTAGAATCTGAAAAGAAGAATCTTGTATTGTCTTATTTTGTTACAAAATTCATTTTGCAGATGTTCTTCCACCATGGATCTCATAAGTAACTTTAATAGTTATAGTAATGGAACTGCCACTGCCAGATTGCTAGCCTTCAAGTTTCACAACTCTGGAAGTGTATTTTTGAAGTGTAGTCTGAAAGTCTGTCCACCTGGATCGCCACCAACAGCTTGTACGGTATGCAAACAGTAGTATGTTGATGTGTGCAAAAGATCAAATTCATAACTGATTTTCTTTTGTTTAAACATGTCTATCAAAACCAAAACAATGTCACAAACGTGTGTGTAAGCATGTTTAAAACTCGTTCTTAATGCTGTGACTTTAGTCTATAATCCAAAACTATTTACCTGTCCATTTTGCAAACATTATCCGGAGGTTGGTTGGGATATTTCTAGCTATACCAGCAAAGCGTGAAAATCTGCTTTACACCAAGGAAAAATCCATTTCTCATCACATTGTTTCAAAAGTATTAAATCGTCTTTTCACTAGGGTTAGAAAACGAGGCAAAATACATCGTCGGTAAAGTGTGTAGCCTTCAATCTGTCAATCTGTTATATAGTATCGCGGCTTAAAAGCCCAGCATATTGTTTTAAATGTTTGAGCTGTTTCGCATCAGATTCTGAGCAATCGAATAAAAAAAAAAAAGATCTAGTGTTAAAAGAACATTGAATGCCGCTGGATGTCGGTAGACGTACAAAAAGCCGTACTCAGAAGGAAAAAGAATACACAAGGTAACCACAGTCTTGTCTCCTTTGCGTTGTCTTTGGGCTCGAACAAGTTTATATTAGATTATTTTGACCGACACGTTGTTCAAAACAAAGTTTATGAGTTTTACGCTGTACGCCGCCCCCTTCCTGCTATCCAGGAAGTTGCATTGTCCTTCGAGAGCGCAATTAAAATGTTATTTTTATAATTTTTATAATGTTCACCTCTTTTTATTTCAAAGATAATATTTAATATTTAGTTGGCATCTTTTTATTTCAAAGATAAATACGGAATATTATGTTGTAGTAGCTTTCTGGGGCTTTGTATTTTGCTACGAGCAGCGGTGGAAAATTGATATCTCGCGAGACCGAAGGTCGAGCGAGATATCAATTTTCCAACGTTGCGAGTAGGAAAATACATAGTCTCAGAAAGCTACTACAAAATAATTTTCCTTTTATTATATATCTTTTCGTTTTATTCAGAAAATGAAATGTAGTTGTCAAGAAATAAATTCATGACTGACGGATGAATACGTAATTTTTGAAAACTGGCCACGCCTTTAATAATTTTGGTTCCCGTTTCTAAATGCAACGTTATACAAAGCTAATATCGGAACCAACGTCAAAAATAGTCCGTCACTTCCATATATGGTACCGTATTTGTCACTAACATAATACGGACATTTCTATCCGATGAAACGTATTTGCGCTTCAATATCGGCGTGTATTTTAGGAAAAAAATGTATAGGTATATAATAATATTCAATATTTAGTTGGCTTTTTTCTGCAATTCAGAGCGTTAATTAAATTGGTAAGAAAAACTTCAAATTTTTCATTCTATAAATTGTTTCAGACTAGATGATGTTGAGGTTGACTGCCATGGGTGTATGTATCAATCTAGAGACGTAGCTTTTTATTTAATTATTACGGAAGAGTTCATTATAGATCTTGCTGAGGACTGCATCACAAATGAAGACAGTGACAAGGCCAGTGAAAATGAACGGCAATGACCTGCCAGAAATTAATTTGTATTGATGCAATATGTTAGAGTTTACTTCAAGGAAAAAATGGAAAGAGAAAAAGTACAGAAATAAGAAGACATAATTAAAAACAGTGCTGATCAATAATGTTTTAGATATTTAACAAAAATTAAAAATGGTAAATGAACGACTCACAACCAAACGAAAAAAAAAATGGTAACGACATTGGAACCAACTGCGTTTTGTAGGTAGTACAAGATAATGAAAGGTTACAATAGGTTAAATAGCAGGGATACCCCAGTCTTAAAACAATACGTTCAGCTACCAGATAATGTTAGCAAAATGGGAAGGTTGATAACTTTGTAGCAAACGAAATAATGTATTTACTAGCAAAAACAAAATTATTTACAAACGCTTAGTGCGTACACACAACGGTAAACAACAACAGTAACAAAACCAGATGTCTTTTGTATAATTTCATAAATATGAAACTATTTTGAGAGCCATTTGGTAACGATAATAAATTTGTCTAGATGGTAGCGTTATATATGGGAAATGGTATTGTTTATACATAAATGCATGTAGATGTAGATTTCAGAGATGAGGGGCGTCCATGGCCGAGTGGCGAAGGTCGTTGACTTCAAACCACTTGCCCCTCACTACTTTGGGTTCGAATCCCATGTGACATGTGAGGACGCTATCCGTCGAGCTTGTGGAACGTCGGTGGTTCTACTTTCATGTCCGTTCGTACCTGAAATAATGAACGGAAGGGTACCTGAGGTCTTTCTCCACCAATAAAGCTGAAAGTCGCCCTATGTCTTATACTGTTTTGGTGCGACGAAAAACCCAACCAATAAGGCTTTTGACCTTGCCTCTGTACCATTGAATTTGAATGCACTCCTCCCGAACCCCCCTTAAAAAATGGAAAGGCATACAGTTTTTTCAGGGTCCGTCATTCCGTCCCACTGTGTGTCCAGTCCATGACTTTGTTATTTATATGTGGATTTTACAATGACTTTAATTTTGTGTGTTGCACATAGAGACATTTTGCCATGCACACAATCTAGGCTTGTAGCACAAAAGGTCAAGGTCATACATTGACCTCAATGGAAATTTTTAATGAAAATGCACTGGTGTTTGTGCCTGGTCAACCACAAATAAATAACCACAAATAATTGTTGCTTATGAAGATGACATGTTATGGACAAAATTTAGTTAGTCAGCCAAAAGGTCAATTTCATCAATGAATGTCAAAAGTCATGATATTATAGTGCATTGATAGATTTGTCCTTTATCAGTGACATATTTTGTAATAACTTGGCTTAAATATATGGTACTTAAATACAATTTGTGATGTGTAAGAACATGTTTGTAAACTAAAGATCAATGTCAATAAGGACTTTTAATGTATAAAGTTTCATTTAAGTATTTTGATGGCCATATCCAGTGATCATATCTGCCATTCATCAAAGAATTTTGAAATAACTAAGCATAATTTTGTGGCACATTAGGAAAACTTATCAAACGCAAATGCCTGGTGTCTGATTTGCATGTCGACATTTAGAATTAGAAAGATGGAGGTTATACTTGAATGTTAAGATGCTAATAGTTGTGTCCGTTCATATGAGCCACGTCACGACAAAACCAACATAATTGGTTTGCGACCAGCATTGATCCACACCAGTCTGCGCATCCCCGCAGTCTGATCAGGATCCATGTTGTTCGCTATCAGTTTCGGTACTTGTAATAGGGTTTATAAGCGAACAGCATGGATCCTGATCAGACTGCGCGGATGCGCAGGCTGGTCTAGATCCATGCTGGTCGCAAACCCCTCATTATGTTGGTTTTGTCGTGACGCGGCTCATATATTTGTTATTCATTCATGGATGTGTTTTGAAAACATTGGACACACTGAGAATATGAGAAAGTATTGTTCAATGTTTCTATATTCTTTAAACACTTTTTATATTATTCTTGCCTTTGTTGCAAGTCAAAGGTCATGATTTTCTACAGCGCCCTGCTTTGGGTGTCATTTGTCTGTTTCCAATGACAGGTCTTATATAATTATAATATTATTTAGATTTCATCATTGCAGACTACCTGTAGCAAAGAAAAAAGAAGTGTTCAAAAGAGGGCATCAGGACAACCAAAATCAATAGTTCCGGCGACAATTAGCAATGTACTGTATGTGGCCGATGCACACTCTGGCGGTACCTCAGGTTGTACTTTTGTCCTTTAATAATTATGAAGAAAAATATGTTTTGAAAGTTTTTGCCAACCCCTTTCCGGTAATTTTTGTTTGATTACTCGCGAAGAAGCTCCTGATCTTTATCACATAACCGTGCCGATTTTACGTCTCTGTAAAATCGATATTGCACGGCCGTGCATATACTTTGATGTTTTACAGTGTAAAGACGCACATAATGGTTAGCATAACACTATTGGTGCGTCATTGAAAATCAATTTTTGTGCCCCCACTATGGGGGGGCATTTAGATTTACCCTTGTCCGTCCTTCCGTCCGTCCGTCCGTTCCCTTTTTGTATCGCACGTAGCTCAAAAAGTTATTGACCTAGAGTCATGAAACCTTACAGAAACCTTACCTTATGCTGATCAGCATGTGAAGTTGTGCACCTGGGTATTTTCATGTGGATATATTTAGTATTTTAGAGAAATTGCCCTTGACTTAGTAAAAATTTCCAATTTTCAACTTGTGTCGCACGTAACTCAAAAAATAGTTGACCTAGAGTCGTGAAACCTTACAGGAATGTTGATCAGCATGTGAAGTTGTGCACCAGGGTATTTTGTGTGGATATATTTAGTATGTTTAGAGTAATTGCCCTTAATTTAGTAAAAAATTCCAATTTTTATCTTGTGTCGCACGTAACTAAAAACATATTTGACCTAGAGTCATGAAACCTTACAAGAATGTTGCTCAGCATGTGTAGTTGTGCACCTGGGTATTTTTGTGTGGATATTTTTAGTATTTTTAGAGTTTATTGCCCTTGAATTAGTAAAAATTTACAATATTTAACTTGTGTTGCACGTAACAGAAAAAAGTTTATGACCTGTAGGCCTGAAAGTTTACAAGAATGTTGGTTAGCATGTGTACTTATGCACCTTGGGGTTTTTGTTTTGAATTTATCCAGTATTTGTAGTATTTGCCCTTATCTTAATAAAAGATTTTAGTTTTCAGTTTTGGCATAATTTTTTATGTAGCCAAATAAAATATTTGACCTAGAGACATAAGATTGACAAATCGGTGGAGTGTTGGGGGCACCCGTGTCCTATGGACACATTTCTAGTTTATTTTAGGTATGTGATAAATAGAATATTATCTTCGTGTAGGTTCATTACTGAATTTATTGAACAAGTGATATGAAATATATTGTGCTCGCAAGGGGCTCGCATAATATAATTTTATTTAACTTGCGCAATATATTCAGTATTGAACTTACACTCATTCAATATCCTCTATTTATTACATAAAATATGTTTATTATACACGAATATTCGCTATTTACAGATAACACGAAAAAAACTATATACCATTTTGACCAATTATGAAAAAAATGGAAATATTTCAATCGGTATTCTAGAAGAAACAATGCATGTAAAGCACGTTAACCCCTGTGCCCCGGAAAAAAGTCGGAAAACTGGCATTGAAGCAGCGTTGTCAGTCCGGATCCATATTTTAGAATTTCTCTGCAATTGTTTATATAGAAATAAGGATAACCAAGTTTCATCTAAGTCCACACAGGAGGTTTTGAGTTAAGGCCCTTTCTTACCTTAACTTTTTTAAGAAAATTGTCACTTTACAAGTGACTGGTTGGAAGAAAACTCTTTACATGAATTAACATGATGTTCATTAAATACATTAACTATAAAAATGTGACCGTTCATTTCTTGAGGTATGGACTTTGTAACTTGAGAAACTGGTTTAACTAGTTATTAAATAATGTTGATTCAATTAAGAGATTTGCTTTCACTATGTTGAACCCTGACCAGATGACATAATGTCATAAAAAGTTTAAATCTGTAGCCTCCAAATGAGCCCAAATATTTGAAGGAAATAAAAATTGAGAAAAATATACTTATATTTTAAGAAAGGTAAAACATTCAAGATTCATTCTAAAGTTTACATGCTATTTCCGACGTAAGATCGATTTTGCAACATTTTATCACCATATTTCTACTGCGTTACTAACGCAGTAAGAGCTGTTTTTACCTATTTTAACCTCTTTTTTGGTTATTTTCATGGGTTGTAAGTGCCGATTGTAATATGTAGATAACTTTATTTTGTTCGCCTCACTATATTTCACTTTCAAATACATTATCAAAATTTTCATGAAAAATACCATGAATCTGGAGGCATGCTGCTCAAGTTAATCTCTTTTCATCTCTTAAGGGTGTCGTTTCAACCAAGTGATTTTATCAATAGCAAGTGTATCACACAGTAAAGGATAAGGTTATCACTTTAATTAGAAAATAAAAAATGTAAAAAAAATCCAACAATTTTTCACCAAAATTAGGTGTAAGGGCACGTGTTAACACTTTTTCGGCGCCGCCCCCATCCAAATATTACATCAGGGGGTTGCCAGAAGGGGGATGTGCCCCCTTCTGTTTGGGGGTTTGAAGGGGGCGGTAGTCCCCCTCATCGCCAAGAAAAGTTTGGACATGTGACAGGCTAAAAATGGTTTCAGGTCGATTTTAGGGTAACTAGTAACCGACACTGAAGAGCCTTTTACTCTATTTCAATTCATTAAGAAGTTGCAGCACTTTGAAATCAGTTTTGATGGAAAAAAAAACATTGCAAAATAGTGATTTTTGGCAGTTTTGAGACGTCCCCCCGTTGCCATGGTAACAGGACATTTACGTTTGAACATGCTTTTACAGAGGCTATGGTCTAGTCAATATTTGTGTCAAGTTTCATCAGTATTGAAGCATTTTTCATAGTTTCATAGCAGTTTGAACTTGTTACAGGAGGCTTTTCAATGAAAACGGTCATTTTTCGCAATATGCTCATGGGGTAAAAGGTTAATAAGAAAAATAAAAAATGTCAAAAAACAACAATTTTTCACCAAAATTAGGTGTAAGGGCACGTGTTAACATGGAAAAACTAGTTTTTGGGTAATTCCAAGGGTTTTCATCATTTTTGATAACCTTTACCCTGATATAAGCGTGTTTTGACGGCTTTTTGCCCCCCCCCCTTTTGAGGCCTCAAACAGTGAACAAATGCCCTTTTTAGACCCAAAACACTGTTTTTCGTTTGGGAAATGTTGTTAAAAAAAGTAAACACTTTTTCGGCGCCGCCCCCATTCAAATGTTACATCAGGGGGTTGCCAGAAGGGGGATGTGCCCCCTTCTGTTTGGGGGGTTTGAAGGGGGGCGGTAGTCCCCCTCATCGCCAAGAAAAGTTTGGACATGTGACAGGCTAAAAATGGCCTCAGGTCGATTTTAGGGTAACTAGTAACCGACACTGAAAAGCCTTTTACTCTATACAATTCATTGAGAAGTTGCAGCACTTTGAAATCAGCTTTAATTGAAAAAAAAAAACAATTTAAAATAGTGATTTTTTTTGCAATTTTAAAACGTCCCCCGTTGCCATGGTAACAGATAATTTACGATTGAGCATGCTATTATAGAGGCTATGGTCTAGTCAATATTTGTGCCAAGTTTCATCAGCATTGAAGCATTTTTCATAGTTTCATAGCAGTTTGAACTTGTTACAGGAGGCTTTTCAATGAAAACGGCCATTTTTTCGCAATATGCTCATGGGGTAAAAGGTTAATTACACTGATTGGGGATATTAATTTTATCATAACTGGATGGGTATATTATTCGCACAGTAATCGCACAGTTGGGGTTATCAGTTGCATCACAAGGTGAGGGATATCAGTTGTATCACACTGGCTGGGGATATTAGTTATATCACACAGCGGTGGATATAAGTTGTACCGTACTGATTGGGGATATCAGTTGTATCACATTGGTGGGAAATATTATTTAAATCACAAGATGGGGGATTATCAGTTGTATCACACAGTGATGATATCATTTGTATGAGACTGGCTTGGGATACAAATTTGCATGCTTATTTACCTATAGACAATCTGATGTTATCTCGTTCCAGGTATCATTGAAGTTCCCACGACATGGATAGCCATCTTAACTGTGATAATGGTTTTAACAAGGAATGCAGAGCTTTTATGAATATACCTTCTGAATTGGGTTAATTATTACTTCATGATTACCGTTAAGTAGGACTTTAACAAGTCATAACCCATGTGTTTATAACAAAATATGTGATATAACGCTTTGTTATTCTTCTTGTCTACAAAAGAAAAATGTAAAATTAGTTAAAAATGTATATCTGATTATATAAGGGATATTTCGTTACCTTAGTGCAGTAACAGGTTAAGTCCTTATAAAACTCATAGCAGTTAACCAGTTATTGCACTAAGTTGGCGATTTGCTACAGTTTTCCATATAGACATGTTCGTAGAAAGGGTTACTACACAAAGTAAGCCAGGACCAACAAACGACTGTTATTAATGAGTATAGTTTTAGTAAAGAAGCTATACATATGATATTCTATTTATCCAAATACATTATTCTAATTATTACATATCCAAATTAAAAACATTTATAGTCAAAATTTGTTGTTTTTTCCATTGACTGTAATGTTCACATTAAGCACTGTCTAAGCTATGTTTGCATAGTGCAGGGGACATCAGATCCAAGCCATGCGAAAATCTCCTGGATGTGTTCCTTGGGATAGGGCTTTAGGCCTTTTCATGTACAAAGAAGGTCCTCTAAAGTTTCAAAAAAATAAATTTGCGTTGGAATTGATCAAATGGGTTTTGAAAGGTAGGATCGTAAAATTGTTGTTTTTCTCGAAATTTATACAGAAAAAACAAATCGCCGTTGCAAAAAAATGACCAAGACACGCGGAGATATCCTGGAGATATTACTTGGGTTAGGGCTTTAGGCCTTTTCATGTGCAAAGAAAGGCCTCACAAGTTGTACAAAATCAAATTTGCAACGGAGTTGATTAAATGGTTTTTGAATGGTAGGCTCGATAGTGATGTTTTTTTTCTGAAATTTAATTAGAGAAAGAGCAAATCGCCGGTGCTAAAAAATGACCAAGCCACGAGGAAATCTCCTGGACATAGTAATTGGGTTCGGGCTTTAGGCCTTTTCAAGTGTAAGGAAGAGCCTCTCACATTCTACAAAATTGAATTTGCATTTGAATTGGTCAAATTGTTTTTGAACAGTTTTCTCGTAAAATTGCTTTTTTCCCGAAATTTATATAGAGAAAGAGCAAATTCCCTGTGCAAAAAATGGCCAAGCCACGCGGAAATCTCCTGGACATATTACTTGGGTTTGGGCTTTAGGCCTTTTCATGTGCAAAGAAGAGCCTCTTAAGTTGTACATAATCGAATTTGCATTGAAATTGGTCAAATGGCTTTTGAACAGTAGGCTCGTAAAATTGATGCTTTTTCCGAAATTTATATAGAGAAAGATCAAATCGCCGGTGCAAATAATGACCAAGCCGCCCGGAAATCTCCTGGACATATTACTTGGTATAGGGCTTTAGGCCTTATAATGTTCAAAGAAGACCCTCCAACGTTGTACAAAATCGAATTTTTAACAATATTGGTCAGAAGTTTTTTCAACAGTTGACACGAGAAAATGATGCGTTATTTTACTAAATTTCTTTTTATAAGACTTTATATCAATAAAGAACAAATTGCAAGTCCGAATAGCGACTATTGAACGTGGATTTGTTGCTCTTATTTTCCTTGAAGTAAATCTATGTGCATTTAAGCATTATATAGCATTGAAGAAAATCCTCTTAACCAATACCATCTACAAGTTTTTTATAAGTACGAAGCGTTCATTTAACGGCGTACGTTACATGAGATAAAAACCTGCTAGATCGAGCTCTCTCAAGCGCATTTTTGTCACACACACCAGCACTGATTTACATAAATATGAAACCAGAAGACCACTGCATTAACAGTTGGCTCCAAATAATGATTTTTTTCTCTCGCAAATTTATACACTTTATATACAGAAGGAGCAAATCGCCGGAAAATGACCAAGACATGCGGAAATATCATGGACATGTTCCTTGGGTTAGGGCTTTAAGCCTTTTCAAGTGCAAAGAAGACACTCTCAAGTTGTACAAAATCAAATTTGCTACGGAATTGCTCGATTGGTTTTTGAATGGTAGGCTCATGAAAATGACGTTTTTCACGAAATTTACATAGAGAAAGAACAAATCACCGGTACAAAAAATGACTCAGCCATGCGGAAATCTCCTGAACATGTGTCTTGGGTTATGGCTTTAAATCTTTTCATGTGCAAAGAAGACCCTCTCAAGTTGTACAAAATTAAATTTGCAACGGAATTGATCAAATTATTTTTGAATGGTAGGCTCGTGAATATGATGTTTTTTCCTGAAATTTACAAAGAGAAAGACCAAATCGTCGAAGCTAAAAAATGACCAAGCCACGCGGAAATCTCCTGGACATATTACTTGGTTTTCGGCTTTAGGCCTTTTCATGTGCAAAGAAGACCCTCTCAAGTTGTACAAAATTGAATTTGCATTTGAATTGGTCAAATGGCTTTTGAACAGTAGGCTCGTAAAATTGATGTTTTTTCACAAAATTTATATAGAGAAAGAACAAATCCGCGGTGTAAAAAATGACCAAGCCCCGCGGATATTTCCTGGACATATTACTTGGGTTAGGGCCTTAGGCCTTTTCATGTGCAAAGAAGAGCCTCTCAAGTTGTACAAAATCGATTTCGCATTTGAATTGGTTAAATGTCTTTTGAACGGTAGACTCGTAAAATTGATGTTTTTTTCCCCTAAATTGATATACAGAAAAAAGCAAATCGCTGGAAAGTGACCTAGCCATGCGGAAATCTCCTGGACATGAGGGACAACTGAGGTCTTCCTCCACCAGTAAAGCTGGAACGTCGCAAAATGACCTATACTGTGTCGGTGTGACGTTACAAACAATAATGCACTTGTAGATTGTTACTTGTTATTTATTCTTGTTTGATGCAATTCGTGACCTAGCCCTATTTTCATGTGCAAGTGATTTAAT